CCCCAAAACCCCAAAACCCCAAAACCCCAAAACCCCAAAACCCCAAAACCCCAAAACCCCATAAAACTCCACGTGTATTGAAATAATAATTCAAAATGAGAAACTTTTGTGCCCTCATTAACCTGCTTGTGCTACTAACATCACTTGGCTTCATGATCACTTGCTATCAGGCCAGTTTGAAGAAAGGAAATTATGCTGACGTGAAGAGAGTTTATATAATAAGTAAGTTGACAGAAATGAACTTGATGCAGTTTTTTGTTCTAGAATTTTAATTTTAGAATCTAATTATGGCATATCTAACTGGTTTTGTGTAGAAGGATTAAAAGAACACCCAGATTGGGGACACGAAGGCCCCTGTTTCTTTAATATTCCACTATGTGTAGTGAAGTATAGCCCAGAGATTGCTAACTATACTGCTTACTTGTTTGATCGTAATTTTCCAAAGCAGTATGTAAAGCGAATCAGAGAGACCTTCCTTCCTCACCCACATCCAGACGAAGGTGGTTCCGCTTCATGGTACTTCCAGGCTGAAACCATAATATCGATCATCTTCATGTTTTTCTTCATTGGATGGTTTATAGATTATGTCTTAAAGGTAGGATCGTTGAAAATAAAAACTCAAAATTGAGCAAGAAGAAAACAAAGAACTTGTTTTTAAACTCTCTCTGAACTGGATTACGAACCTTAGGCAAGAGGAGCCAAGAAAGGCCTTTTTTGGATTCTTGGATTATTTCCTTGAAACCCTGGATTCTGAAGATAATTCCTTCGGTTATCCTCATACCTTTTAATTTGGCTAATTCTCTACTCTTTGGACTTAATTACCTCTGAAGTTTTTTTTCTTGTTAAATAACGTTCTTTATATAGGTCCTATTCGGCATGCTATTCCAGATTTTATTCACAATAGTAGTGCTAGCAGTGATATTCATCTTATTCAGACAGCAGTGTTATGGAAACCATTACGAACACACCATTGGGGCCTGTGGGGCATTTAAGTCATTCTTTGGTAACCCATCAGCATAAATATATATTCAATCAGACATTTACTCAGCGGGGTTTTGGGGTTTTGGGGTTTTGGGGTTTTGGGG